CGCTGCGGAGCGGTCATGGAGTGCTACGACAAAGCGGCCTTGAACGCCGTCCCAGTGTCCGACTTCAGGCAGTAAGTCTCGGGGAGGGGAAGGGCCTGGCGGGCCAGGCATCCCTGCGGGGTGGCGGAGCCTGGCGGCGGGCCGCAACCTGTGCGGAGGAAGCGCTGTCTGCTAGGCCGCGGCGGGGCTGTCTGCTGCGCCGCGGCGGGCGGGGATGGCTCCCGGTACCGCCAGCCTGAGGTGGCGGCGGTGGAGGAGCGCAGCCCCTGGGGGATCCGGGGGTGAATGTTTCCGTCTCACGCTGTTGGCAAGACGGGCAGCGGGAGCTCGGGCCAGGAGGACAAGGGTGGGGGAGAAGGCCCCGGGTTTCTCTCGGCCGTGCTGCGTAACGCCGGGCAACCCCAGAATCCGAGCGTGGAGGCTGGTTTGCAGCTAAAAGCTCCGCGTTAGGACTGAGGTTATATATGAATATCTGGTTTTGCTGCGCAAGGAAGTGATGAAAGTATATTGGTGTAAGAAGTATCTGTCAACAGTGGAGTTTTTTAACTTTCGTAGTAAGCTAGAGGTCGTTTTATGAGTAGATGTTAAATAGAGAACAGTTTCTAGTTTCCATAGGTAAGGTTTGTAGTGGATTATGCTTTCCATCTCGACAGACTGAGACAAACTCTAGTAAAGGAAAAGATTCCGAATGTCGGAATATTTTTTTAACCTTCTTAATATGCCACCTAAATGTACGGCACTACATGATCAGCAGGAAAGTCGGCTCTAGCATAAAAGGTGTGTGTGGCTGCACATCGCTTTCTGTTGCTGACTGTCAGAGGATGGGGTTTTTTTTCCCCCATTTACACGTATTTTTCCAAAGAAATGTCAAGGATAAAATGTGACTTCAAGCAATGTAAATATGTCTTATTAAAACTTTTTGAAACTATACATAAAAAATAGCTGTGGAGGTGCCTGGGAGTTTTAAGAATTGTGTGTCCTTGACTCGAATTGCTTTTTATGTGTATTTGTTTTTCAAAGCCTTAAGGACACATGCCATTGAACCTGGTAGCCTTTGAAAGTCAGAAGGGTATTGCTTGGCTGCATGCGTACTTCAGCATAAAATAACATAGTCAGCCAAGCAGAGTGAGTGAAAACTAGTGGAAGCAGCACACATGAAACAAGCTGTATGTGTTGTTTTGTATATACAAAGCCTGTTCTAGCAGGTCAAGTTCAGGGAGACCTTGCCAAGTATGTTACCCTTCGTTGTGATTCTCTTGCTCAAGGTCTTCTAGGTTTAGGTCTGTGAAGGCAAATGTTTTGGTGTATTCGTTCAGTGGTCTGATTACTGATACAGTTATTTCAACTTTTTTAGTGGAAACTGAGAAGTTATTTTAAAAACAGGAACAATACTTAATAAAAAGGAACTTCACTTCCAACAGTAAGCTGTTAAAGTCATGCTGCATACTTCGTCCTGTATCCTGGCCTGTAGGATTTGTCATTTTCCTAGACTTGTAATTCTTTTTTCCGAAAAAAAGAGGGAACATAGCAAGTTTTAGTGCAGAATACTGTCATGTGACAAGTGCACGTGTACCTAATATTAGATATTTAATAATTATGTAATAAGAGACTGATACAAATATTCATGTAAACCACCCCCATGTTGTTAATGCTTGCAAACCAGTAACAGGGAAAAATCTAAATACAGTTTTTGATCTTGTTAGTGAGCTTTGACTGGCATGCTCCAAGTCTTTAGCACATCCAAATGACATGTGTACCCAGTTCTTGAAAAGTAATTGGCTTCTGTTTGGGACAAGTTCTTGTCCTGTTTCAGGTGTATATATTGCGACTTTCTTCTGTGTGTAACTTTTCTTATTTATTTCAGAAATGAGGGTTCACTAACATCAACTTTAAGAACACTTCTATTCTTCACAGCTCTAATGATCACATTACCAGTTGGGCTATATTTTTCATCAAAGGCTTATATATTTGAAGGTAATTCTGTTCCTGCCAACTAGCATTACTATTACAAAAAAGAGGGAAAGGAAAATTCTGTAATACCGTCTTTGTTCTCCTTCCTATTTTGAATATTTGTTTCTTTATGCAGGCTAAAGGCCTTCTAATGTCTAATTACAACAGAAAATAATATAAGTGGTTGATGCATCCTTCCCTGCATTGTGATCTGCAGTCTCATATTTGCTGTTTGCTATACTGTGCTCTGTACCATACACAGGTGCATCGTTCCCCTTACCTAAAGGGTATTTAACACCACCTTGCACCCTTTTATCAAAATCATCAAGGGTCTGTTTTCTGCAGGTGTTGAAAACTAACCGTGTATATTCCAGACAGAATAGTGGTTTTTACTGGGTTTATTGTTTGCTTTTTACATACGTACCTGCATTTGTACGTGTAAACCAGTTAAGTCACATACCCAGTTTTAGATAATGAATGTGGTTGCTTGTAGAGCTTTCTTCTATTTTTTTTTAAAGGAAATTTTAGCTCTTTGTTTAGATCAGTTCTGTTACGTTCTAGCCTTGATTCTGCAAGGCTTTAATAACTTCCTAATGCTGCAGGAGAAGAGCTTTCAAAAGCGGAGAGGAGAGAGGGAGAGAGAAAGCAGCCACTTTTAAGAGCAGTTTGTGAATATATAACTGGGTTATTATATATGATGATTCTTCTCAGGTGTGTACTGCTCTATGTAGGACTGAAGCTGAAAGCTTGTTAAGTAACTTTCAAGATCCTTTTTAGTTCTCTCAGGTTTTTTTTCCTTTACCTTAAGTATAGCAAGCTGAGCCTGAACTTTGCTGTGTCAGTTAATGGCAAAATCTGTCAGCTCTGATAGGATTGTGTTTTTAGTGTGATAGGATGTTTGGTTGGAAGTTGATTTTTTTATTTTTTCTTTTTTTTAATTAATGAGGACAAATTATATTTTGGTATTTGGTCTTCTGATATTTGAAGGCTTATTTCATGTGAGATGCATTAATTTATCTTAACTGGTGAGGAATTACTGGTTTAGGGTCTAAATACAGAAGGCAGAAGTCCTCCAAATTTAATTGTTTTACCGTTTTATCCTGTTAAATATAAATTACATTATTATCCTCCTTCCCCTTCTGCTGCCTCTCCCCCACCCCACCTCCCCACATTTTTCTGCTGCACAAAGACTGGCACTTAAGAAAAAAGGTGGTTGAGGTTTATTTGGTGCTGGAAGACAGTAACAGAAAAAGTGAATGTTACAGAACTTTAGGCTGTTGACTTCAAAAGCAGGGTATTTTATCTCAAGTGTTGAATAATTGCAGTGTTGCTTTATTCCAGAAATAGTTTCAATAGTGTGTAGTTATCATGGTGAATTCTTTCCTGTGAATCTTTGAGCTCAGCCTTTTGATACAGGAGTAAATGCAACTTTGCTCTTTAGAAAGAATTGTGATTTGCCATTTCAGCATTCCTAATAACTGATATTCTTTCTTTATTTTCTCAGGTACCTTAGGAATGTCCGACAGAGACAGCTATTTTTATGCTGCCATAGTTGCTGTAGTTACTGTTCATGTGGTACTTGCTCTCTTTGTATACGTAGCGTGGAATGAAGGTTCTCGACAGTGGCGGGAAGGCAAACAGGACTAGGATGAAGATCATCGTCATCTGATGCCTACAGACTGTAAATGGAATTTTTGTGAGCCGAAGGAAAAGCATTCTTCAAAATGTATAATACACATGTACAAAGATGAGGCTAATGCCTCAGCTCTGGTTACAATAAGACTTGTGCTCGTCGTGAATGTGTGCCAGTGTTTTCTCTAATGTTGATGGAAGTAGTTTTTTAGCCAGCGTCTACTGGGTCGAGCTGAGGAGGTCTTCACCTGGAATTAGAATGAAATAATTATTTATTTTTTTAAAAATCCTGTAGCTATTTTTGCCATTCCTAGTATTTTTCTGGCTTGCTCTGAAAAATCATACTGGCATGAAGCAAGCATTAAATTTTCAAGTAATCAAATTGCTAGTTAAAAAAATCTACTTGTTATCTACCTACAGTGAAAAAGATGGGATTTCACTTTGCTGTGGATGGTTTCCTGATTTGTGGGTGTTGTGGTTTAACCCCAGGCAGCAACTAAGCCCTGCCTCACTGCTCACTTGCTCCTCCCAGCAGGATAGGGGAGAGAATCAGAAGAGTAGAAGTGAGAAAACTCGTGTGTTCAGGTAAAGACAGTTTAATAGGTAAAGCAGAAGCCATGCATGCAAGCAAAGCAAAGCATGGCTTTCATTCACTACTTCCCACGTGCAGGCACATGCTCACCATCTCCAGGAAAGCAGGGCTGCATTACACTTAATGGGTACTTGGGAGGATGGATGCTGTCACTTCAAATGCCCTCCCCCTTCCTTTTTCTTCCCCCAACTTGCTGTGCTGAGCATGATGTCATATGGTAGGGGACATCCCTTTGGTCAGTTGGGGTCAGCTGTCCCTGCTGTGTCCTCTCCCAGTTTCCTGTGCACCCCCAGCCTACTCACTGGTGGGGTGGGGTGAAGAACAGAAAGGGCCTTGACTTTGTCAGCACTGCTCAGCAGTAACACAAACATCTCTGTGGTATCAACACTGTTTTCAGCACAGATCCAGAACAGAGCCCCATATTAGCTACTGTGAAGAAAATTAACTCTATCCTGGTCAAAACTAGTGCAGAGAGACACATAAATAATACACTTCTGAGCTTAGCAGTAACTGCAAAAATAGAACTGATTAGAAACTCAGGTGATGTCTTTCTAATGTGAAATACAAAGCGAGTTTGTTTGTTTTCAAATGTAGTTTTTTATTACAGTGTAAAATTCAGTCTTTAATTTCCTTGTGGGAGGATTGTATTACTGCATTGCTCATACTTCCACTTTTGTACAGTTAGTCTTGATGCAAAGGAAATGACACAGCATATTTTTATATGTCTTTATGTATCTCCTTGATAATTGCTAAAGGATGTCGTTGGATTTCCTGTGGTAAAGTAATATCAGTAATGGCATAAGACACTCTAATGGCTAGTAGAGGAATTAGCAAGAGAAAACAAGCTGTAGCCATCTGCAGATCTTGCAGAACACAAGAGTGATCACATGGAAAATACGCTTTGCTTCATAAATATTGTACACTGTGAAATGATACAATATGTTGTTTTCTGTTTTCCTTAGTTGTGTGTAGAAACTTCTTGTTGTCAAACCATAGCGAGATTTTTGTGTTGTGGGATAACCTGAATTTCATTTCACTGTTATGTTGTGGTTAGCAAGCTTTTTGGTCTGTAGATAAAACATTTCCCCTAAGGTTCCAGCAACGCATAGAACTTTCCTACTGCTGACAGTTGCTCTTAAGCTGTTTTGCTTGTGGTCGTTCTATTAATTAATTAATTCGAGTTGTCTAGTTTCTTGTGTTAGCTGAGCATTGTTTAGAAGTGTTTGGTTTAATATAGGGCTCGGAATGGTTTTGGTGCTATATTTGTCCATGATAAAACCTACCCATAAATGAGACAGACGTCAGTTACCCATGCCCAGTGGCTTGAGGCATGTGTTTCCTGATCTCGGTCCTCTCATCTCCACCCCTTGTCCTAGGTGTGGGCAAGCATATGTCACACTAAAGCAAATCCATTTTTATGTTTTGTTTCTGAAACTGTAACTCTTCTCATCCAGAAGCCTGTTGTCACGTTGCTGCCAGCAAGCTGGAGAACGGTCTCATAGTACTTGAAATACGAATATAGTTTGTACGTTGGCGCATTGGCTTCCCGTTCTCCAGTGTATGAACTGTGCATTGTAGAACAAGTGCTACCTTTTAATAAAGAACTGCCCCACAGTACAAGATGTGGTAAACAAGCACTTGTGCTCAACAGTTTTTGAATAATCTCTTTAATGGTTCTCATGTATAACACAGCTTACAGTTTGGGTTTTGTTTTTTACTCTGTTTATAGTGGAGAACGTAGCTGTAGTGCTTTACTAGCTGGGTCTTGTGCTGTGTCTGTTTTATGTTTCACATACTAGAATCCCTAGACACTAAGCTAATTTCCTAGGAATAACAGAAAAATAATTGCATGTTATAATTGTTTAGTTACAAAACCTGAAAACTTTGCTGTAAGTATAGGCACTGTAATGTCTCAGTAATTGGGAGTGATGAGCTGAGCATTAATCCATCCATTGGAAGATCTTTGAAGATAATGCTTTGATCCACAGTGTCCCCCTTGAGAAAAGAGGGAACGCATGAGTCTCAGCATGGTAGCAGCCATATAGAGAGTTTTATGTCGCCTGTGCTTGAGAGTTGAAACAGGCACTCAGGTAGATGGTGCCATGAACACAGTCAGGTGGTGGAGTTACAGCATGACCAGGGAGCTCAGGGAAAAGAAACTGCAGCCATACAGTGTAGAGTGTACAGGGACTAGATAGCCTACGGAGGCTCCTGTGGTGCCTCACCAGTACTGAGATGTATTCAGGAGTTTTGTTCTGGCCTCTTTAGGTTGAGGATTTACTTTCACATACCTGATTTTCCTGTTACAGATAATTCTTAGGTCAATTTTTAAATTGTTTAATAGCCATTCCAACTTTTTTAGAGTATAAGTAATACTGTACTGTACTGGATTTGCATGGGAAGGTTTTGGTAGTGAGAGGGTTACGGGGTGGCCAGAAGCTTCCCCTGTGTTCAACAGAGCCAGTGCCAGGTGGCTCCTGGATGGACCTGCTGCTGGCCCAGGTTGAGCCCATCAGCGAAGGTGGTGGCATCTCTGGGATGATGTATTTAAGAAAGGGGAAAAAATTGCACAACAGCTGGAAAGAGGAGTGAGAAGATGCAAGAGAAACAACTCTGCAGACACTAAGGTCTGAAGGAGGGAGAGGAGGTGTACCAGGTGCCAGAGCAGAGATTCCCTTGCATCCTATGATGAAGACCATGATGAGGCAGCTGTCCCCCTGCAGCCCATGGAGGTTAGTGGTGGAGCAGAGCTGCACCTGCAGCCTGTGAAGGTTAGTGGTGGAGCAGTCTGTTCCTGAAGGACTGTACCCCACAGAAAGGACCCACGCTGGAGCAGTTGGTGAAGAACTGCAGCCTGCGGGAAGGACTTGGAGGTTGAGGACTGCCTCTGTGGGAGGGACCCCATGCTGGAGCAGGGGAAGGGTGTGAGGAAGAAGCACTGGCAGAGATGATGTGTGATGGTCTGACCACAATCCCCATCCCCCTGTGCTGCAGGGGGGAGGAGGCAGAGAAAATCAGGGGTGAAAAGGACCCATGTTGGAGCAGTTGGTGAAGAACTGCAGCCTGGGGGAAGGACTTGGAGAAGGTCGAGGACTGCCTCTGTGGAAGGGACCCCATGCTGGAGCAGGGGAAGAGTGTGAGGAAGAGCACTGCCAGAGATGATGTGTGATGATCTGACCACAATCCCCATCCCCCTGTGCTGCAGGGGGGAGGAGGCAGAGAAAATCAGGGGTGAAGTTGAAGAAGGGAGGGGTGTCGGAAAGTTGTGTTAAGATTTGGTTTTATTTCTCATTGCCAATCAAATCAAGAGTAGGGTAATAAATTAATTTCCCCAAGTCATGTCTGTTTTGCCTGTGGCAGAACTTGGTGAGTGGAGAGTCGTGGAGAGATCAATATTCTTGTTACTTTGGTTTTTATTTTCTAGAGAATGATGATGTAAGGTTTTTTATGATGCAGTACTTTAGTACTGTAAGTGTGTTCAGTGGATTTGAGGCAACTGTAGTTAAAAAGACAAAATTGGAAAAACTTGATCTGCGTAAGCCATTCAGTACTTAAAAATTTCAGTGCTCTATCGTGTGTTTGTATAGGATGACGATTAGGATGACCAGGGAGAAGAGCTTGGAAAGTTGAGTGGTGACTCTTCAGCTGAATGCCTGGGGCTGACTTCTCTTGGTGCTGGTTTGCTGTCACATTCTACAGCCCTCCTTGTCCTAGTGGCCTTGAATGGCGTGGTCTTGCCGAAATATTTCCCCAGGGGTGCCCACTGTTTCTAGGAGTGACCAGGTG